GAGATCAAGAAGCGGTAACGCCACCGACCCCACCGCTGACCCTCCCACGGCTCTGACAACCCCTGCCCCCCGATCCCTCCCTGCCCCACTCTGCACCCCTTCCCCGGCATACCCTCTGCCAGTCCCTTCTGGCAGATGGGCTTCCGCAGGGCATGGGGCTGGTTGGGGTTTGCCAACTGCAGGCACTCCCCTCCTGACAGGTCACATCTGGGGTCACCTCACCCCACCTGAGCAGGAGGAGCCTCTGGGTTCCAGGGCAAGGCAAAGACAACCTGGGAATAGGTGGTGTGGCAGGGAGGGCTTGAGAGACAGAGGAGATGTCCCCGCAGCACCTTGGGACAGGTGTAGTGCTGGCAGCCAGCCCGGAGGGGCCAGGGGAGCACGCCGAGGCTGCCCCAGAGCCCCCTCTGTCCGGGCAGGGGGATCCGTGTGGGGTACACCCCTGACGTGCTGACGGATGCCACGGCGGAGCTCTCGGTGGCCCTGCTGCTCTCGGCGTGCCGACGGCTGCTGGAGGCGGCCCAGCAGGTCAAGAGGTGAGTGCCAGCTGCAGGTGGCCCCGGCTCCAGAGCTGAGCCACAGGGGGCTGGTGACACAGGCCAAAGCCAGCATTTCATCCAGCTCACACCAAGTACCTGGGCTGGGCTCTGAGCAGGCTCTCCCTGACTCTGTTCCTGTCCCATCCTCTCTGCCAGTGGCGGCTGGACGACCTGGAAGCCCCTGTGGATGTGTGGATATGGCCTGTCTGACAGCACGGTGGGCATCATCGGGCTGGGCAGGATAGGTAAGTGCTGCTCAGGGGCCAGGTTTCTGTGTGTCCAGCAGTGGCAGGGTGGCTTTGGAGCTTCACCTTTAACCTAAGGTAGTGGAAGGTGTCCCTGCCCATGGCAGGAGGGTTGGAACGAGGTGCTTTTTGCAGTTCCTTCCAAGCCAAACCATTCTGGGACTCTCTGACTCAGCCAAGGTGGTGTCCCCGAGGCTCACCTGTTTAAACATGAGCACAGCAAGGGGAGCTGCACAGCAGCCTCTCCCAGAGCCACGAGCTGGCTCATCAGGCTTCAGCCTTAAAAGTTTCAAGCATTGAGGTGCCTCCACCACCTGCAATCCCTGCAGCAACCTGTACATCATCCTCCTGGCCTCCAATTAAACAAACAAACAGGGGCAAAGTCCACACGGCACTCGGTACCATCCAACTGCGGACTTTGCCAGCAGGCAGCTGGGCCTGTCCTTGCTCCCCAGTTTGCTCCTGAGGGCAGCTGCGGGTTCAGTGTCCCACGGGCCCTTTTCCACAGTGGAACATCTCCATTCCCCATCCCGTGGTCCGGGCTGGGAGCAGCCAGGCAGGAGTGATCCCACCACAGTGGCCCTTCAGTGGCTTCAGGAGCTGGTCCCTGTGCAGCTCATGGAGCCATGGTGCCCTGACATCCTTCTCTGTCCCTCCTAGGACAGGCAGTCGCCCGGCGCCTGAAGCCATTTGGGGTCAAGAAGTTTCTGTACACTGGCAGTGGCCCAAAACCAGAAAGCGCAGCAGAGTTTGGGGCTGAGTTTGGTAAGGACAGCGCGGGGTCAGGGCCAGCATGGGCTGGCAGTCACAGAGGACTGTGACTGGGGCAGCTCCACGGAGGTTTCACTTGCAGGGCAGGCCAGCAGAGAGAGGGCACCAGCTGGGAGTTGTGGGGGGCTCCTTGGGGTGCCCAGTGTGAGGGGGCAGCAAGGGAGGAAATACCAAGTCCCAGACAGGCCCCACGAGGTGGTGGGGAGTGACAGGGAGGCACCTGCCTTCTCTGACCCAGGTGAAGACTAGACATGCAGGGGCTCATCAGACCCCCACCAGAACCATGGGCTGCAACTGTTCTGCCACTGTTGCCCTTCTCTGCGTCCATCCACTGGTGATTCATTTAATTCCCACAAGGAAGCAGGAGGGAAGGTGGCAGCTGCTCCTGGGAGGAGAGGAAGGATCTGGGCACTGTCCCCATGGGCTGAGCACCAAGGTGTCCTGACAGGAGAAGGGGTCAGGCTGCAGCTGCCCATGGAGCTTTGCTGAGGGCAGGTGTCAGCTGCAGCAGGACATTCCTGTATTCCTCCCTTCAGTCCCACTCGTGAGGCTGGCCGAGGAGTCGGACTTCGTGGTGGTGACCTGTGCCCTGACACCAGCCACCCAGGGAATGTGCAACAAGGACTTCTTCAGCAGGATGAAGAAAACTTCTGTGTTTGTCAACACAAGCAGGTACTGGCAGCCCAGTCCTCTGCCTGAGAGTGCGCCTGTCACCTCGCTGGGCTCTGGGTGCAGAGGATCTGCTGTGAGTCCAGACAGCATGTACAGCCTTAATGGCTACAGGCACTGGGAATGTTTTCCCAAGGTCCCTTGGGATCCAGCCAAAGGCAAGATAAGTTATTCAGGGAGCACCCAGCTCTTCCCCCACTGCAGGCAGCTGGAGCGGGAAGAGCTCGCTGTGCTGGGAGGTTCAGGCACATCCAGAGAGGGTCTGAGCTCCATCAGGCAGCCCTGGGGACCCGCCTGGGCTGTCCCAGGTGGGCTGTGGCCCTGGGAGCCTGTGGGACCCTTGGCAGTGATGCCAGCCTCTCTCCTCATGTTCTCCAGGGGGGCCGTGGTGAACCAGGAGGACCTGTATGATGCACTGGCCCAGGGCCAGATCGCAGCTGCCGGCCTGGATGTTACCACGCCAGAGCCACTGCCCACTGACCACCCTCTGCTCTCCCTCGAGAACTGTGGTAAGTGTCCAGAAGGGTGGCCAGAGCTCGGCTCTGCCGGGCTGCCCACACTCCTCAGGGGCCCACTGGCAAGTGTGACAGACATCCCTTGTCCCTGTTACCCCTCTGGTGCCAGGGAAGCGTGGAAGGACAGGCAAGTCAGGTATATTTAATTAGGCTGTAGGGAGCTCCTGTACAATGTGGGGGTCTGCTGTGGGGTAAGAACTCATCCATGTAATGTCAAACAAGTGTGGGAGCTGTTTTAATTCTCCAGAAAGCTGCCAATATCAACTCAGGTTTAGCACCTTCCCGGTGGGTCTCCATTCAGTGTGTGAAATTCACAGAGGGCCCAATACCAGCACCTGCCTGAACAGGAACCCAAATCGCAGCTCAGGCTCTGCCCAGCTCAGGTGTTCTGTAAGCTCCTGGGCACATATTCTGCTAGGAAAGCTTCCCAGATGGCTAAAGTGGGTTGCCGAGTCTGCCCAGAGGAGTCTCGGGCTCTGGAGTGCTGCCGACTGGCCAACCTGCCAAGCTGGCCAACCTGCTGAGCCACCACCAGCCCAGGCAGCTGTTACCTGCATAGTGCGGAGCAGGTGGGAAGGGCAGGTGCAGGACTGACACCTGTCTTCTCTGGAGGAGGATGAGTCAGGTGAGGAAGGATAGCTAAGAAGGGGCTTGCTTGGCTGCTGTTGTGCAGGATGTCCTCTTTCCAGGAAGGACATTCCTGGAGTAGGGAATGTCTATTCCAAAAAGAAACCATGGGGACATTCATGAAAACTTGGAACTGCCCTTGACTGAGTGTCTGTTTATGAAATATGAATCCGTAGCTGGTTTTTTTCGTTTATCTTTTTGCTAAAACTCATTTTTTATTTGTTTCCTTTGGTTGCCAAAGTAGACAGCATGGGGAGGGATGGAAACAGAGACTTTTCTGGAAAAATTTGCAGGACTTGGGAGATTTGAGAGCTCTGGAACAACACCAAGCAGGACAAAATTAACACATATGTATTAATTAAATATGTAAATTATAATAGTAATACTAATTGTTTATTAATTTGTAAATAACACATACATGTGTATTGTACCTCCGACAACCCTGAAAGGGGCTGTCCCGGCCCGCGAAGGTGATGGGTGTCCCTCCTGTCCCCGCAGTGATCCTGCCGCACATCGGGAGCGCCACGTACGCCACGAGGAGCACCATGGCAGTGCTGGCAGCCAACAACCTGCTGGCCGGGCTGCGGGGGGAGCCCATGCCCCACGAGCTGAAGCTGTGACAGTCCCCGTGGTGCGGCGGGACAGGCCAGCCTGGCCCCTCCCCTCTGCGGCAGCCAGGAGTCATTAAAGAGCAGCAGGGAATGTGTGGTGCTCGTGTCATTTGAGAACAGGGTGCCCCGAGCATGTGGGAGAGCACGCTGTGGGTGGGGGCTGCGGGTCCCAGCAGGCCATGGATTGGGGTTTGGGTCTGATTTGGGGAACACTTGCCCTGCTGGAACTCCTCTCTATTCTGCTCACTGGTGTGGGCTGTACCACAAGGGAGCTGCTGTGGCAGCACCTGTCCTCAAAACCTGGTTGCTGGTCACAGTGAGAGGCCAACAGTAGGGGAAAAGGAGGGAGGGAAGAAGGGAGGGGGCTGCAATGGCACAAGGGAAGTGCGCCGGGTTGGGGAGCAGCAGCTGGTGGGACCATAAACCTGGTGCAGGGAGGGAGCCAGAACACAGCACAAAGCCTGTGATGGTAATTAAAGCTCACCTAGTACACTCTGTGCTTCCTGTCCCATGACAAGGGTCCCTCATGCTGGACTCTGCTGGAATTTCTCTGGATGCTACATAAAGCGCTCTCCGATAGCAGTAATGGCTGCTGGAAGTTGCTCTGTGCCACACCTCGGAGGGATTCTGATACTTTTATCAGTAAGTTTTGATTCACAATCCCAGCTGATTGCCATGTGATGGTCCACTAGAGTGAGTTTTGGAGGTTTCTAACCTGGGCTGATCAGGGCAGGCTCATGGCTGTGGTAAGGGAGGGAGTCGAGCATCCAAACTGGCTGGGAAGTTTCCAACTGACCCAAAAGAAATTGGGATTTACTTTGGCGTGAAAACCCAGGGCATGAGTCCAACGGGGGAGTTTGCTCATCTCCAAAATTTCTGGGTGTTGACACTGAAGATTCTGCTGGTGGTGATGTTACTGTGATGCTGAGAAATGCTGACCAAACACCTGAAAGGTTACTGTGACCCCTGATGATGCAAGCAGTGAATGGGAATGACCTGGTGTCTGAGCAGATGTGTCAGATTCCCCAGGTATGTTAAGAAATAGGCAAAAGCTGGTAAATCACCTGCCAGAGGGACTGGACCACATCTCAGGTGTCCATCCCAGAACTCCTTCAAGACAAGCACCTCCTCCACCTGCATCAATCCTCCCACAAGGAATTCAGAGTAGCAGTGACCATGGATCACGAACTTGATGGATGCTGTGTAGATATTAACATTATTTCAGTAACAAACACACTAAGAAGTTCTTATGAAGAACTCTACCAGGGACAAAATTATTATCAAGTACAGGCTTTTACAATCACTTTTACAACCACGAGTATTTCTGTATAGGCTGGTGTGAAGAGCAACAAACCAGTGAATCCAGTCACAGGAGCACAAAAATGCAGGGTTTATTTCAGGATGTTTCAGAACACTGACACGCTGAACCCTCCACACAAGACCCCACCGTGTAAAGTTCCATTCTGAGTGGAATTCGGGGCAATAAGCTCTCCAGGCTGTAAGGTGAGACACCCTTCGCGTAGAGAGGGGACAGCTCAGGTCCTAGGTATTTATTCATGCCATTCCCAGGAATTTATTGCTTCATTTGGGAAGACTCGGGAAGCAGCTCAGCAGCCATAGGCTCCAGGCCTCTCCACAGGCACAGGGTGTCAATGGACAATGAAATTTAAAGCTTCTGCTTCCAAAAATGCTCCAAGTCAAACTTTTTCTCAGAGAAAGAAGTCCTCCTGCACTGTCATTCCACATTAAAATTTTTATAAAAACAGTTCATAAGTCAAGTGTTTATCTGCTTATATTAGTTCCTAATTAGTCACCTTGGTCACACAGATGCCTTATTCCTATGCGGCATAAGAATTCAAGAAATTTGGATGTGATGCCAAAAAACCCCACACCTTGTTTTTAAGAATGAAAACAGCAGAAATGCAAGCAACACAAGAAAATATTAAAGTACAAAATACTGCATTTTATTGATGCTTGGGTGAGTGTTTATGCAGCTTAATGCTGTTAGTCCCCGATACTCAGATTATTATCAAACAAAACACAGTGTATCCCAATGCTTTAAAAAACTGCATTTTTTTAATGCTTAAAAAAAAAAAAATCAAGAGCCAGAAATACAACCATTAAGTAAACCCTATAGCAAAGTCTTAACATTTTAAAGGAATTAATCCAACCATCCCCTGTGTTTCCACGTTCCTTTTTACTTCAGATGCTCAAGTGCAAATGACACACTGACAGCTGCAGGGAATCCTGTCTCTGTCCTGATCCAGCTTCTGCACAGCTGAGCAGCATTTATCATCAGCAGAAGTGCTCCAAAAGTTTGTTTAAAAAGCTAAAGATGCTGAACACCAGGTTGTGTGCACCGGTGACAAGGAAAAAAGGAGCCTGCAGGCAGTATTAAGTTACAATGGCATCAAAGAATAGGAAATTAAAATGAGATTTACACATCTCACATGGAGAATGACAAATTTCCACTACCCAAAGGGTACTGTGCTATTTTTTAAAATTAAACTTACACTAGGTTGTTTTAGCTTATGTAGAAAAGTACTTCTATGACACTAGTTTAAGCAGAAGGCCTGGATTTGACAATGACATTTTATTGAGAGATATGAGTCAGCAGTGCCCTGGCAGCCAGGAGGGACAACTGTGTCCTGGGGGGCATCAGGCCCAGCATGGCCAGCCGGGCCAGGGAGGGGATTGTCCCGCTCTGCTCTGCCCTGGGGCAGCCTCACCTCAAGATTGGGGCAGTTTGGGCACCACAATATAAAACCAACATGAAGCCACTACAGAGCATCCAAATGAGGCCATGAGGATGTAGAATAGTCCAGAGGGGAAGCCTTATGAGGAACGGATGAGGGCCCTTGGTTTGCTCAGCCTGGAGGAGACTGAGGTGAGACCTCACTGGGGTCTTCAACATCCCCCAGAGGGGCAGCACTGATCTGTTCACTCTCAGGACCAGTGACAGGACTCAGGAGCTGTGTCAGGGCAGGGTCAGGTTCTTCCCCCAGAGGGTGGTTGGGCACTGACCAGGCTCCCCAGGGCAGTGGGCACAGCCCCACAAGGCTGTCGATGAGTTCAAGAAATGTTTGGACAACGCTCTCAGGCACATGGTGGGATTCTTGGGGTGTCCTGTGCAGGGCCAGGAGCTGGACTCAATGATCCTAATGGGTCCCTTCCAGCTCAGGATATTCTGTGATTCTATGAGATATGGCAAACGAGGATTGTTCCTGACAGTTCAATCTGAGGAACAATCCACAGCTGTGAAGGGAAGCTGTGCAGAGGAGGAAATTAAAGCCCGGAGATAAGAGAGAAGGACAACATGCTCACACAGTAACGAGGACCAGATGGACTGCTGGCATCTGGAAACAGAGGGAGACTGTCTTACACGGCAAAAAAAGCCATCACAAATTACCTCCCTCCTTCGAAACAACAGACAAGCTCTGTTCAGACTCCTGCCTATATAGAATTGTAACATAGGAGATACGAACTGGTTAAAATACTGCTAGGAATAGCACAAACAAGAGACAGTACTTCACTTATCACTTAATACGTGTTTCTACGGGAAAAAAAAAAAAAAGGTCAGCCAAACATCCAGATCTTCCTGTATTAAAGTTATATGTACACCTGGCAGTCCAAAAGTTACTTGTCTGGTATTTAATTTAAGCACCTTGATTACACAGTGTTCTTTACTACAAAACAGCCAAACATACATTCATAATCCTAGAACTATTGTTATAATTAGCGTATTTGAAAGCATTATGTCAGACAGGTGCAGCCAAAGCTGTTTTTCTCTTTTAAAGGTAAGTGGTCTGCGCTACTGTCCACACATAATGCAGCAATTCATGTTACAATAATTATTTAAATGCTTTCACTGTTACAAAATGCTTTAGAGAAAAAAAAAACAAAAAAAAAAAAAATGAAATTTGCACTTCAGTTTCTTGTTCTCTAAACGTGCTATTTCATGAGATCCCCACACTGTCACCCCTCTGCCCTGCAAAGGGGGTGCTTCGCTGTGGGGGGTCACATCCCCACGCCCGCTGCGCAGCTCCCGGCGGGCGGCTGAGCCCGCGACACCCCGCGAGGTAGGTACCGGATATCCCCAATGGCAGAGCCGAGGCTCTGTGTGTGTGGCACCACCGCACGGCAGCGTCCGCCGGCCCCACCGCGGCAGCCCCGGGGCAGCGCCTTAGAGCAAACTGCTGGGCAGGTTGCTGCTCTGCCACCTGAGGCAGGTGGTCTTGGAGTGTTTGTAGAGGTGGCTGGACTGGCTGAAGCGCTTCCCGCACTTGAGGCAGGCGTAGGGCTTCTCCCCCGTGTGCACGCGGATGTGCTTCTTGCAGTCTGTGAGCGTCAGGAAGGTCTTGCAGCAGATCTTGCAGGCGTACTTGCGTGCGCCCTCCACCACCAGCACATTATGCTCCGACAGCGCCTTCTTGCACTTGGACAGCACATCCGCAGACGCCCTGGTGAGCTGTGGGGGGCCGGGCTGCGACAGGTGCCCACTCTCGAAGGACGTGCTCCCGTTCATCAGCAGCTGGGACCCGGACGAGCTCTCCTGCAGCTGGGAGCCCCGCACAGAGGTCACCACCGGCATTTTGGGGGCGATGCGGCGGTAGCCAGGAAAGCCACCGGCTCCGCCTCTCACCGAGCCCATCATGGCCCGGGACAGCGAGTGCAAGCCCAGGCCTGAGCGTGGGAAGTCCATGCCGAACTGCTCCGCTGCCCGGTACCCAG